CGGTTCCCAAATTTGGTCCATTTGATGTTCCTCCCTTGGATTGAGACCGTTTCATCATGTTTCTCCTCATAGTCATGTATAGAACCTATTAATCCATGTTTGGGTAAGTATGGGTCCGTCTAGTTCATCATATACACTACAAGTAAGTTCCCACAATGTGGAGGCACAGAGCTACATTTCGGACTCCTTACCTCTTCCGGTTCCCAAATTTGGTCCATTTGATGTTCCTCCCTTGGATTGAGACCGTTTCATCATGTTTCTCCTCATAGTCATGTATAGAACCTATTAATCCATGTTTGGGTAAGTATGGGTCCGTCTAGTTCATCATATACACTACAAGTAAGTTCCCACAATGTGGAGGCACAAGCTACATTTCGGACTCCTTACCTCTTCCGGTTCCCAAATTTGGTCCATTTGATGTTCCTCCCTTGGATTGAGACCGTTTCATCATGTTTCTCCTCATAGTCATGTATAGAACCTATTAATCCATGTTTGGGTAAGTATGGGTCCGTCTAGTTCATCATATACACTACAAGTAAGTTCCCACAATGTGGAGGCACAGCTACATTTCGGACTCCTTACCTCTTCCGGTTCCCAAATTTGGTCCATTTGATGTTCCTCCCTTGGATTGAGACCGTTTCATCATGTTTCTCCTCATAGTCATGTATAGAACCTATTAATCCATGTTTGGGTAAGTATGGGTCCGTCTAGTTCATCATATACACTACAAGTAAGTTCCCACAATGTGGAGGCACAAGCTACATTTCGGACTCCTTACCTCTTCCGGTTCCCAAATTTGGTCCATTTGATGTTCCTCCCTTGGATTGAGACCGTTTCATCATGTTTCTCCTCATAGTCATGTATAGAACCTATTAATCCATGTTTGGGTAAGTATGGGTCCGTCTAGTTCATCATATACACTACAAGTAAGTTCCCACAATGTGGAGGCACAAGACATTTCGGACTCCTTACCTCTTCCGGTTCCCAAATTTGGTCCATTTGATGTTCCTCCCTTGGATTGAGACCGTTTCATCATGTTTCTCCTCATAGTCATGTATAGAACCTATTAATCCATGTTTGGGTAAGTATGGGTCCGTCTAGTTCATCATATACACTACAAGTAAGTTCCCACAATGTGGAGGCACAGAGATACATTTCGGACTCCTTACCTCTTCCGGTTCCCAAATTTGGTCCATTTGATGTTCCTCCCTTGGATTGAGACCGTTTCATCATGTTTCTCCTCATAGTCATGTATAGAACCTATTAATCCATGTTTGGGTAAGTATGGGTCCGTCTAGTTCATCATATACACTACAAGTAAGTTCCCACAATGTGGAGGCACAAGCTACATTTCGGACTCCTTACCTCTTCCGGTTCCCAAATTTGGTCCATTTGATGTTCCTCCCTTGGATTGAGACCGTTTCATCATGTTTCTCCTCATAGTCATGTATAGAACCTATTAATCCATGTTTGGGTAAGTATGGGTCCGTCTAGTTCATCATATACACTACAAGTAAGTTCCCACAATGTGGAGGCACAGAGCTACATTTCGGACTCCTTACCTCTTCCGGTTCCCAAATTTGGTCCATTTGATGTTCCTCCCTTGGATTGAGACCGTTTCATCATGTTTCTCCTCATAGTCATGTATAGAACCTATTAATCCATGTTTGGGTAAGTATGGGTCCGTCTAGTTCATCATATACACTACAAGTAAGTTCCCACAATGTGGAGGCACAGAGCTACATTTCGGACTCCTTACCTCTTCCGGTTCCCAAATTTGGTCCATTTGATGTTCCTCCCTTGGATTGAGACCGTTTCATCATGTTTCTCCTCATAGTCATGTATAGAACCTATTAATCCATGTTTGGGTAAGTATGGGTCCGTCTAGTTCATCATATACACTACAAGTATGTTCCCACAATGTGGAGGCACAAGCTACATTTCGGACTCCTTACCTCTTCCGGTTCCCAAATTTGGTCCATTTGATGTTCCTCCCTTGGATTGAGACCGTTTCACTCATGTTTCTCCTCATAGTCATGTATAGAACCTATTAATCCATGTTTGGGTAAGTATGGGTCCGTCTAGTTCATCATATACACTACAAGTAAGTTCCCACAATGTGGAGGCACAGCTACATTTCGGACTCCTTACCTCTTCCGGTTCCCAAATTTGGTCCATTTGATGTTCCTCCCTTGGATTGAGACCGTTTCATCATGTTTCTCCTCATAGTCATGTATAGAACCTATTAATCCATGTTTGGGTAAGTATGGGTCCGTCTAGTTCATCATATACACTACAAGTAAGTTCCCACAATGTGGAGGCACAAGCTACATTTCGGACTCCTTACCTCTTCCGGTTCCCAAATTTGGTCCATTTGATGTTCCTCCCTTGGATTGAGACCGTTTCAGTCATGTTTCTCCTCATAGTCATGTATAGAACCTATTAATCCATGTTTGGGTAAGTATGGGTCCGTCTAGTTCATCATATACACTACAAGTAAGTTCCCACAATGTGGAGGCACAAGCTACATTTCGGACTCCTTACCTCTTCCGGTTCCCAAATTTGGTCCATTTGATGTTCCTCCCTTGGATTGAGACCGTTTCATCATGTTTCTCCTCATAGTCATGTATAAACCTATTAATCCATGTTTGGGTAAGTATGGGTCCGTCTAGTTCATCATATACACTACAAGTAAGTTCCCACAATGTGGAGGCACAAGCTACATTTCGGACTCCTTACCTCTTCCGGTTCCCAAATTTGGTCCATTTGATGTTCCTCCCTTGGATTGAGACCGTTTCATCATGTTTCTCCTCATAGTCATGTATAGAACCTATTAATCCATGTTTGGGTAAGTATGGGTCCGTCTAGTTCATCATATACACTACAAGTAAGTTCCCACAATGTGGAGGCACAAGCTACATTTCGGACTCCTTACCTCTTCCGGTTCCCAAATTTGGTCCATTTGATGTTCCTCCCTTGGATTGAGACCGTTTCATCATGTTTCTCCTCATAGTCATGTATAGAACCTATTAATCCATGTTTGGGTAAGTATGGGTCCGTCTAGTTCATCATATACACTACAAGTAAGTTCCCACAATGTGGAGGCACAGAGCTACATTTCGGACTCCTTACCTCTTCCGGTTCCCAAATTTGGTCCATTTGATGTTCCTCCCTTGGATTGAGACCGTTTCATCATGTTTCTCCTCATAGTCATGTATAGAACCTATTAATCCATGTTTGGGTAAGTATGGGTCCGTCTAGTTCATCATATACACTACAAGTAAGTTCCCACAATGTGGAGGCACAGAGCTACATTTCGGACTCCTTACCTCTTCCGGTTCCCAAATTTGGTCCATTTGATGTTCCTCCCTTGGATTGAGACCGTTTCAGTCATGTTTCTCCTCATAGTCATGTATAGAACCTATTAATCCATGTTTGGGTAAGTATGGGTCCGTCTAGTTCATCATATACACTACAAGTAAGTTCCCACAATGTGGAGGCACAGAGCTACATTTCGGACTCCTTACCTCTTCCGGTTCCCAAATTTGGTCCATTTGATGTTCCTCCCTTGGATTGAGACCGTTTCATCATGTTTCTCCTCATAGTCATGTATAGAAACCTATTAATCCATGTTTGGGTCCGTTATATATACACTACAAGTAAGTTCCCACAATGTGGAGGCACAGAGCTACATTTCGGACTCCTTACCTCTTCCGGTTCCCAAATTTGGTCCATTTGATGTTCCTCCCTTGGATTGAGACCGTTTCATCATGTTTCTCCTCATAGTCATGTATAGAACCTATTAATCCATGTTTGGGTAAGTATGGGTCCGTCTAGTTCATCATATACACTACAAGTAAGTTCCCACAATGTGGAGGCACAGCTACATTTCGGACTCCTTACCTCTTCCGGTTCCCAAATTTGGTCCATTTGATGTTCCTCCCTTGGATTGAGACCGTTTCATCATGTTTCTCCTCATAGTCATGTATAGAACCTATTAATCCATGTTTGGGTAAGTATGGGTCCGTCTAGTTCATCATATACACTACAAGTAAGTTCCCACAATGTGGAGGCACAGAGCTACATTTCGGACTCCTTACCTCTTCCGGTTCCCAAATTTGGTCCATTTGATGTTCCTCCCTTGGATTGAGACCGTTTCATCATGTTTCTCCTCATAGTCATGTATAGAACCTATTAATCCATGTTTGGGTAAGTATGGGTCCGTCTAGTTCATCATATACACTACAAGTAAGTTCCCACAATGTGGAGGCACAGAGATACATTTCGGACTCCTTACCTCTTCCGGTTCCCAAATTTGGTCCATTTGATGTTCCTCCCTTGGATTGAGACCGTTTCATCATGTTTCTCCTCATAGTCATGTATAGAACCTATTAATCCATGTTTGGGTAAGTATGGGTCCGTCTAGTTCATCATATACACTACAAGTAAGTTCCCACAATGTGGAGGCACAAGCTACATTTCGGACTCCTTACCTCTTCCGGTTCCCAAATTTGGTCCATTTGATGTTCCTCCCTTGGATTGAGACCGTTTCATCATGTTTCTCCTCATAGTCATGTATAGAACCTATTAATCCATGTTTGGGTAAGTATGGGTCCGTCTAGTTCATCATATACACTACAAGTAAGTTCCCACAATGTGGAGGCACAGAGCTACATTTCGGACTCCTTACCTCTTCCGGTTCCCAAATTTGGTCCATTTGATGTTCCTCCCTTGGATTGAGACCGTTTCATCATGTTTCCCTCATAGTCATGTATAGAACCTATTAATCCATGTTTGGGTAAGTATGGGTCCGTCTAGTTCATCATATACACTACAAGTAAGTTCCCACAATGTGGAGGCACAGATACATTTCGGACTCCTTACCTCTTCCGGTTCCCAAATTTGGTCCATTTGATGTTCCTCCCTTGGATTGAGACCGTTTCACTCATGTTTCTCCTCATAGTCATGTATAGAACCTATTAATCCATGTTTGGGTAAGTATGGGTCCGTCTAGTTCATCATATACACTACAAGTAAGTTCCCACAATGTGGAGGCACAAAGATACATTTCGGACTCCTTACCTCTTCTTCCCAAATTTGGTGATGTACTTGCATTTTACATAGTTTTAGTACATCTTTTATGCATCTTTTGCATAGTTTTAGCATCCATTAGCATCATATCTTGTTCCTTTTCTCTTCTTATGCATTCATGTTAGTTTTAGGTTGCATTTGCATACATATGCATGTTTGGTCCTTTGAAATAGGTCTTTTGGAGCATTCTGGAGCATATGGGACGTGAGGAGCATGGAGGGACTTGGCACATGGACGCAGCTCAACTGGATACGCAAAGGAAGAAGGGAGAAGCCATCTTGAAGACCAGCTCGACCACTCTCGACTCGAACTCGAACTCGATCGAGCTGAGAAGTCAACAGTCAAACCCGAAAAATGTTGCTTCCCCCTTGACTTTCCTTTGACCCTAAACCTAATCCTCTTTGTATTTAAGGCTAAAAGCCACGAAAAAACCACCAAGCTTTAGATTACTTTTTTTTAGTTTCTTTTAATTTATTGTCTTTTACTTTTGAGAGCTCTAATCCCATCTTTGTGTTCTTGAAGCTCTTGCTTCTTGAATCCTAGATCCTGGATAATCTCTTTTGTATTTGCACTTGCTTATTTCAATAAAAGTTGTTTAATTTCATCTCCTCTTTCTTATGATGTCTCTTTTATTGCATTTGCTTGTGTTTACATTCATGTGTAGTGAGTAGTTACCCATTAGGGTTTGAGATGGGATAGATTAGAGGTTTCATATGCTTAATCCTTCTAGCTTATGGTCTTAATCTAGATTCTCTCTCTTTTGGATAGATCTTAAGGCTACATGACCACTACCCCTGGCTTGTAAGTCCTTAGGCGATTCTCCACACGGAAGTGATGGCAAATCGTGGAAAAGATCCACTAAGAGCTCCAATATCTCTTGCTCTAGAAATAGAGGTCTAAGGGGTTGGATGGATTAGTTTGGGCAATGATCCTATGCCTCCAAGGTTTGATTCTCACTGGCTAACCCCCTGTTTCTGAGATCATTCCTTGGTTGATAGCCTTCACCTTGGGAAAGGGTTGCTAGGCATTGAGAAGCCCAATATCAAGAGAAGCCTTGATACAAGGAGTTTTAAGAGCAAGATGATTAAGTGTAGTTCCTTTGATTGCAAAACCCTGTCTTGAACCCTAATTCTCTCGCTTAGCTTGTTAAAGTCGTGCCTTTATGCTTTTTCTTCAACTCGACCCTAAACTCGATCGAGCTGGTACTCTGTTCCACTCGACTCGAGTCTTGGTCGAGCTGTTGCTTACTGCTTTATTTACTTTTGCATTTCATTTCTGTTTCATTTAGGTTGTTAGTGTTACTTCAAATCTATACTGCTTGACTTTCTTGTGTTTCATATTCTCATAGAGTGACAAGTTTCCCATTTTGGATTGATAACCTCTTACTACATTGACTATGATGGTTAAGAGGAATTGATTGATTGTGATTGCACCATACCATCATCTTTATTCACCCTGTTTGCATTCCACCTCATATTCATATCACATCCACACAAAATCCTATCATCAATTTGGCGCCGTTGCCGATTTGGGAATATTTTTGTTGCATTTGAGTTTCAAACACACTTGGACGATCAAGCTATACCACCCCTGTTCTATTGTACTGCTGGGTTTTTGTCTCTTTTTGCAGGTGTATGCGAACTCGATCGAGTCGGTCTACTGAGACTTGGTCGAGCTAGACTTTACAACGGGTAGAAAGAGGTGTTCAAAAGTGCACAATGGAGGAGTGGAAACCCTCGACCGATTGGTCAAGGAGATGCTCCAAACCGCCACCAACAGAGACAAGGGATTGTTCCACCACCAGTGCAGAACCACAACTTTGAGATCAAGCTGGGAATGATCAACCTTGTCAGAACAAGATGTTCCATGGATTGCCAAGTGAAGACCCCATTGACCACCTTGATGAGTTTGATAGGCTTTGTGATTTGACAAAGATCAATGGTGTCTCTGAAGATGCCATCAAGCTGAGACTCTTTCCTATGTCTCTAGCTGACAAAGCTCACCAATGGGAGAAGAGCTTGCCCCATGGCACAATCACCACTTGGGATGAATGCAAGAAGGCCTTTCTTGCTAAGTTTTTCTCCACCGGTCGCACAGCCAAGCTTAGAGGAGAGATATCCAGCTTCATCCAGCGAAACAATGAGACATTCGCAGAGGCTTGGGAGAGGTTCAAAGGCTACACAAGTCAGTGCCCACACCATGGATTCAACAATGAATCACTACTCTCCACTCTTTATAGAGGATGCTTGCCTAGGTATAGGGAGATGCTAGACACAGCTAGCAATGGGAACTTCCTCAACCAGGATGTAGATGATGGCTGGCAACTTGTGGAGAACATAGCTAACTCAAATGGAAGCTATGGAGAAGAGTATGATCGCACCAACCGGAGCTCGACCCACCACTCGATCGAGTCAGACGAAAAGTTGAGAAAAGATGTTAAGGCATTGAATGAGAAGTTGGATAAGCTGATCCTAGCTCAGTCCACAATGAAGAAAGTCAACTTTGTGTCTGCTGAGGAGATGGAACCAGTCCAAGAAGGGGAGGATACACAATTTGCTGAGGTGTGCTACATGAGCAATGGGCAAGGAGGTTACAACAAAGGATACTATAATTACAAGTCCAACCCTGCCATGTCATACCGCAACACTGATGTTGCTAACCCTCAGGACCAAGTATATCCTCAACAACAAGCAGCTCGATCGAGTCAGGTGCCACAACATGGGTATGGTCAAAAGAACAATTACCAAGGACCACAAGGCACTTTCCCTGGACAACAAATGAATATCCCACCAGGCTTCCCCCACCAACCACCCCAGCCTGCACCTTCACAAGAGAATGAGCTCAAGGCAATGCTAAAGCAACTGCTTCAAGGGCAAGCTGATGGGGTAGTGGACACAAGCAAGAAGCTAGCTGAAATAAACTCTAAGATCGAGAATCTCAACACAAGGGTTTACTCTCTGGAGAATCATGCTTCTTCTGTTGCTGCTGCTACAAAGCAAGGACAACTACCTGGTAAAGCAATTCAGAACCCCAA